TTTTCCTTTTAAATAAAATTTAAAAAAAAACAACTACAAACACACTCAGCCACCTTATCTTTGACAAAGGGGCCAAACATGTTCCCTGAAAGAAAGATAGACTCTTATGATATAAAATCTAGCAATACTATTATTATTCACTGTTCAGAGTGATATTAGTCTAGTTTCTTATGTTTAATTTCAACATACGTAAAGATATGGACAGCTATTTCAAAGAGAATGAGAAACATTATGGCAGCCATTGTTGAATTCTCTATTGTCTGGTCTTGAAGACCTAAAAAGCCTTCATCATCCTGTTCTGATTAGTACTATAATGTTTAGTATATATTCACTGTGTGTGAAGATGTGGACAACTATTTGGAAGAAAACAAGAGACAATAAGATAGACAGTGAAGATCTCCAGTGGTCTTGTTTTGAAATCCATGTTTCTTAAAATTGTTTCCTTATGATCTGTGTTGTTCTGTTTAATTTTACCCTCTTTAAAATAAAAAAAGCAAGAAAGATAGCTTCTTTAATTAGTCGTGCTGGAAAAACTGGCTTTCTATATGCCGAAAACTAAAACTAGACCCATGCCCATCACCACATACTAAACTACAGGCAAAATGGATCAAAGATCTAAATATTTTTTCTTTTCTTTTCTTTTTTTTTTTTTTTTGAGACAGGGTCTCACTGTGCAGTTCAGGCTGGCCTTGAGCTCACTTTGTAACCTAGGCTGGTCTCAAACTCACAACGATCCTCCTGCCTCAGCCCCTCCGAGTGCTGGGATTACAGGAGTGAGCCACCACACCCGGCTCAAAGATCTAAATATTAAAACAGAAACATTTAATCTGCTGGAAGACAAAGTAGATAGTGTTGTACCCCAAAAACAAGGCCCCAAGATGTTGTGCAAAAAACGGGCAAGATGTCTTTAAAAAGAAGCGCTTTATTTTAGCTGGTACCCAGCGATACAGCCTGCTGGTGGAATCTGCAGAGGTTACAAGGGGTTTTTAAAAAGAAAAAGGGGAGGGGAGCAGGAATGAGGAAGGCCTTTGTTCCCCTTTGCTTGAGGTCAGAGACGTTTTGCAGTTGGTGGTTACCCCTTTCTTTCCTTAATTTCCTTGGTCTGCTAATTCCAGGAACATTTGTTTCTCACAAAGGGAACAAAGGTTGACACAGCAAACAGGTTACTAAGGTGATGACACATACAGAACAGTATGGCTACGTGTCAGTTGATGTATAACAAAGTGGTCAGTGCTCCAGGGTGGCCGGCTGTAGAAAACAGTGTATTTTACAAAGTTATCAGGGTGACAAGCATAGCACGGGATGACAAAGCTCTTTTTGCACAATAGGTAGAAATCTTGAAGACATAAGAGAAGGCAAAGAATTTATGGACAAAAATCAAACTGCACAAGAAATACTTCCCAAAATCAATAACTGGGATCTCATCTTATTAAAATAGTTTTTGCATATCAAAAGAAATCTCTAACAGAGTAAAAGGAAAACCTACAGATTGGGAAAATATCTTAGTCAACTGTCTCTCAAACAAAGGCCTTCTGTCTAGAACATATAAAGAATTAAAAAAAATTAAGCCAGGTATGGTGGCTCATGCCTGTAATTCCAGCACTCAGGAGGCTGAGGCAAGAGGACCATTGAGAGTTCCAGATCAGCCTAGGCTACAAAGTGAGCTTAAGGCCAGCCTGAAGTGCATAGCGAGACTCTGTCTCAAAAAGACAAAAAGGAAAAAAAATCAGGCCTCTTGAAATTCAAAGACCCAGTCTAAAAATGGGCATCTGAAATGAATACAGGCTTCCCAGCTAAGAAATACAAATGGCAAATAAATACATGAAAAAATGTTCAGCTTCATTGGTCATTAGAGGAATGCAAATTAAAACCACACTTTGATTCCATCTCACTCCAGAAAGAATAGCCAGTATCAAGAAAACCACCAATAACAAATGTTGAAGAGGCTGTGGGGAGAAGGAACACTCCTGCACTGTTGGTGGGAGCGTAACCACTATGGAAATCAGTCTGGAGGTTTTTTAAGAAGCTGGGGTTGGAAGTCCCACTTGACCCAGCTATTCTACTTCTGGGCATATTCCTAGAAGAACTGAAAACATCATATCACAGTAATATACATGCACCCATGTTTATAGAAGCACATTTTGTAATCTTGAAAACAACCTAAACACCCATCACCTGAAAAATGGATAAAAACAAAAAGATGTGATATTTTTATACAGTGGAGTACTACTCAGTGATAAAGAAGGATCACATTGAAGCTTTTATAGGTAAATGGATGTGACTTGAGACCATACCCGTAAGTGAAATAAATCAAACTCACATGTGGAAATACCATATTGTCTCCCTAGTATAAGAAACTGAAAGAGTAAATAAGATACAAAATCTTCAGTAAATATTGTGAGAGGGTAAGAAACTACTCAAAGGGGAAAAAACAGCGAAAAAGAGAAGACAGGAAAAGAAAATATAAATTTGTATGAACACACTTAAGATAGTAAGATGATTGTGCTACTAATTCTATCAGTTCTTGGAACAAAACAGTTAACATTCAAAGGATTAGATCAATTTTGCATGTTTATATCTGGTAACCTGAGTAACTATTTTGAAGATAAATATGCAAAATAACAACCTTGGTTATGTTTCTACCACCTTGTTTTTTGTTTTGGGGTTTTTTTTTTGGGGGGGGGAGGTGGTACTGGGGATCAGGGATCAAACTCACTACTTCACACTTGCCAGACAGATGCTTATGCGCTGACCTAAATCCCTGGCCCTACTAACTTGTTGCAAAGGCCTTTATTGTCATTGTTATGGATAGTTACTGTTATTTGTCTGTTTCTTGTTTTACTTGTAATTTGTTTTGTTTTTCCCTCTAATACAGAAAGGATAGATGTACGTGTATAGGCTTGCCTAGAACATGCCTAGAACTTTTAAACAGTTTACAAGAATTGATTTTAATAGGTGTAATGGTATGAACAGCTACTTTGAAGAAAATGAGACATTATGGTAGCCATTGCTGATTTCCTATCATCTTGTTGTTAAGCCCAATAATGCTTTTCTTCTTTGTTTTGACTGGTCTTAGTCTGTTTTGTATTATTTAATTTCAATATATTTGAAGATATGGGCAGCTATTTTGAAGAGAACAAGAGACATCATGGTAGCCATTGTTGATTTTCCTGTTGTCTGGTTTTGAGGGCCTGTAATGCTTTCATTTTTTTGTTTTGAATGGTTTTATACTATTTTTGTCTTGTTTGAATTAATTGTGTATAAAGATATGGACAATTATTTTGAAGAAAACAAGAGATATGATAACCACGATTGATTTTCTATTGTCATGTTTGAAACCCTGTGTTGATTGCATTGTTTGTTCTTTGTTTGTTTTATTCTCCTTAAAATAAAAAAATAAAGTGTGGCTGTTCTGTTGTTTTGTTTTATTCTCCTTAAAATAAAATAAATAAAGTGTGGGAATATAGCATAGTGCAAAAGCCCTAGGTTCAGTCTCCAGTACAGCAAAGAAAAAGATCCTACACTGTTATCACACATATGAAGTCTCTTCAGTTATAGAAAGTGACAGGTACACAGATGCTGGGGATGGGGACTTGGATATTGGGGGTACAGCCATTGTTTTGTCTCTCACAGAAAGCACAGAATGGCACAAAATGAAGCAAGGGGACAGGACCCTTGAGGTATGCCTAAGCCTTTATAAGTTGCAACAGGGTAACAATGCCTTCTGACTTTAAAAGCAAAACCAGCTGGCCATGGTGGTACACACCTGTAATTCCAACACTTTCAGGAAGCTGAGGTAGGAGGATCACAGTGAATTTGAAGCCAGCCTGGGGCCTAAAATACATAGCAAGAACTTGTCTCAAAAACAAAACAAAAAAGCAAACAAACAAAATCCCAGCAACAGAACCCTGGCTGCTGGGTGGAGAGTTACAGAGCTAAAATGGAAGAGAGGAGGCCAGTGAGTGTTCTGAAAAGGGATGCGGGTGTAGGCCAGAAGTGGCATTGAAGGTGGCATTGTAAATCAAGATTTAAAAGTCGTATTTAAGAAAAACTGCATCTTCAGGACACATAAGTTACTGGAGTCTTTTATTCCTTTCAGGAAACTCAATTTTTAAAAAACCCTAAAGATTTTAAGGACACAGTATGCCTGTCAATTGGTCTGTTTTTACCTATAAATTGAGCTTTCTCCATTCTCAAGAAGCAGTAATATTGGTGGACAGCAGTTCTCAAGTCTAAACATATGCCAATGGCTTGCACTATAACCTGACAGAGTAGGAATACACAACCTAGATTACCCCCTTGAAGTCACCCCCTAAAACATAGCCAAATTCAGCTCCTAGGGTGTCTCATTTCTCTGAGCGCCCGCACTCCTATCGGTCGAATAAACCCTTCTCTTCCCTCTTACTGAAACATCAGTAAATTTTTTTTCCTGACGGCAGTCCGCGAACTCATAAACTTCAAAAGTCTTCAAAAAGGATGTTGTCTTGTTAACTTCCTTATTTCAGCCTTGGAGACCCTCTGATCCAGCCCGGCAACAAAAAAGGAGAACCTATCTTCTAACTGGGTCTGGCATTTAATCTTCTTAGCCCGGTACCCTCCAAGGCTGTTTACCCTTTGGTATAAATGGGATGAATAGAGATACGGAGAGTATGGTATGACAGGCTCCGAGGACCAGAAGGCACCATAATCCTTAGGTATCTGGGGCGAGGACGATAGAATCAAAGGCCCAGTTGTAACAACTGACTTGGTGAAGCAGCCACCAGAGCGGCCCCGGCCCAGAGATGCTTTAGAAACACGCCGGAAACCAGGGCCTGTATCCACCAGGTATCCTACGGCCCGTGGGCTTGACGACGTCCTAAGATTGGGCAGTTCGGCGAAGGGCTGATCGCCGAGGAGGCGGGACTTCCGGCCAGCACCTCCGCTGTTGCCAGGGGAGACGTGCGCAGGGAGCCGGAAGTAGCTGAGGAGCAGCGCGGAACGCCGGCCACTATGGCGGCCTCGGCGTCTCCGGCAGCTTCGGGGCCCGGATATCGGAGCTGGTGCTTGTGTCCTGAGATGCCATCCGCCACCTTCTTCACGGCACTGGTTTCGCTGCTGGTCTCTGGGCCCCGCTTGTTTTTGCGTCAGCCCCCGCAGGCGTCCTCAGACCTGACGCTGCGGTCCGAGGCTTTGCGCGACTGGCAAGGTGAGCGGGGTCGGGGCCGGGGTGGCGCGCGGAGTCCCTTTGCTCCGCCGTCGCGCGCGCCTGGGCTCCAACCTCGCAGGATTCGCTCCTCGCGCCTCACTGCCAGCTGCCTCTCTCTCGGGGCGCACCCCTCCTCCCCAGCGGAGATCCAGCCTCCAGCACTGTCACCTGCTTCCAGTAGTGACGTCTTCCCTGAGCCTCGTCTTCGCCGTTACTGTAATATCCCTGCTCTGCCTGAGTTTGTTCCTTCCCTGTCGCCTCCAGACCCGTTAAGGCCCTAAACTCATTCCTCGATTTCTCAATTGCTCCCGGAGGATAAAGCCTTTTTCTCTCTGCCTCCCACTTCATGTACACACCTAGGTCTGTTTTAAGGCCAAATGTTTCTCCCACTTTTTTCACAGTTAAACTTTGTTGCTAACTTGTGGACATCCTGTGCTCTTGAAGTTAGGAATTTCTTCTGCTTCGTTTCCATCTTAATCCCAAGTAATCCCCATATCCTGATGGGGATATGTATGTGTAAAGGAGGGGGGAGTTTTTCTCTGGGTAATGCAGTTTTGCAGACCAATAAAGTCTAAACATCCATGAATAAAAGTCATTCCTAGTCTCTCTTCTTTATTCTTTTCTGCAGAAATAAGGGAAATGTGTGGCAGTCTTGCAAAACACAATCAAATGCATGATAATTCAATCCCCAGCCATCTCAAGACAGGCCATATTAAATTGCCCATTACTTCAGTGAGACTGAACTTAAAGCGGAGAGTAACAGAGCTGTTAAGTCATAGAATTGAGATAGAAACTCAGCTTTTTGTTTTTTATTGTATGTTTTGATAATTAGCTGCTTTTGTTTTTGTTTTGTTTTGGTACTGGTGATCAAACTCATGGCCTTGTGCTGCCAGGCAGGCACTTATGCCACTGAGCTAAATCCCAGGCCCATGCTTGAAACATCCCAGGCTTGAAACTAGAGCCTGGGGCTATATAAACCCAAATCACATCGAGTTTCACCTAGAATTTTTTCACATTTATATTTGAAATTTCAGTTGTGGAAGTACTCACCAAATGATGAAGTACTCTTCAGATAATGAAGCCTTCCAGAGACCGGCCTGACTGAGGTATACATTTCCACAGCCTACTTACCTGCTCAGATCCCTCTTTTACTGAGGTCCCCACCCACCATCCTGGGTATACTCACACTTCCTCACAGACAGAAGCAAACTGAGCCTTTATCATGAGAGTTTTATAATCCCTATAGCTGTAAAATAATTCATGGGGTCTTTTTTCTTCCTCTGAACAGCCACTATGGAAAGAAAGGTCAGGAATACAGGTGAGGAGACTGGCACAAAGTGATAAGTGACACCCTCTCCGTCCACCCTGAAGCTGTTACAGTTAATTAACCCTCAAACTGCCCGTTGAGGTAGGTCAGTATTAAAATTTGCAAAAGGGTTATAAAGCACTTTACAAAATCAGCAATCTCGTCATGAGCCAACAGTTAGTTTGTGGGGGACGGATGGTTTTTCTTTCTATTTTTTTTCAGTTCACACATGGAAATTGTTACTGCTAAGACTTGCTCTGGGCCCAGAAGGGAAAGAACAGGGATTAGGCATTCACATCTCTACCATATCTTGGGGCTTTCATTGTTGCTCCCACCTCTTACCTGCTGACTTGCACTGGCTCTCCGTTTGCTAGCACAGAGGCTGCTTCCCTTTTCTAGATGGCTCATATCTGGGCTTTCTCTCCCTGGAGCAACCCAGCAGCAGGCTCTAACCCGACTCCCTCTTCAGTTTACAGGCTGGTGACCTACATCTTTGTCTATGAGAATCCAGTCTCCCTGCTGTGTGGTGCGGTCATCATCTGGCGCTTTGGTGGCAATTTTGAGAAATCCGTGGGCACTGTCCGCCATTGCTTCTTCACCCTGATCTTCACCGTCTCCTCTGCTGTCATCTTCCTGTCCCTTGAGGCTGTGTCGTCGCTGTCAAAGCTGGGGGAGGTGGAAGATGCCAGAGGTTTCACCCCGGTGGCTTTTGCCATGCTGGGAGTCAGTACTGTCCGTACTCGCATGCGGCGGGCCCTGGTGTTTGGTGTGGTCATGCCCTCCGTCCTGGTGCCATGGCTCCTGCTGGGTGCCTCTCGGCTCATTCCCCAGACTTCTTTCCTGAGCAACCTGTGTGGCCTTTTGATTGGACTGTTATGTATCCTTCCTGGAAGAAAACTGTGATGAAGCTGTACCAAAGGGTGCGCCCACTCCCCGAGGGCTCTAGGATGTCTGTCAGGTTTTGGGCTCAGATGGTAGCAACCCAGGTTTGAGCTTCAGCTTTGGAAACCACACAAGATTCTGCTCCCCCCTTTGGATTACATTTGCTCATCTGGAAAATACCAACAGTTATCTCCTTGTCCAGCTTATAACTTTGTCCAGTTGGTGACATGCTGATTTGATTGTGTGTGTGTGTGTGTGTGTGTGTGTGTGTGTACCTGCATTTGACTTACTATAATAGAGTTTTCATTGGAAGAGTTCAAGATGCCCATAAGCTAGAAATGTTGTTCATGAAAGGGATAGGAATTATCTTTATTTATTTGTTTCTTTATTTTCACTGCTGGGGAATGGAGCCTGGGGCCTTACACATGCTGGGAAAGCATTCTGCCACTGAGCTACACCTCCAGCCCCCAAATTTGTTTTTATTACTATCTTTGTTTGGTTTGATTTTTTTTAAAAGAGAAAACAAAAATGAAAGAGATTTGGCTTTTACCATATAGATGGTTAAAACATAAGGATAAATTTTGTAGCTGCAATCAGAAAACTAAAATATAGAAGCCAGATGTGCTGGCGCATGCCTGTAATCCCTGCACTCAGAAGGCTGAGGCAGAAGGATCACTGCAGGTTTGAGGCCAGCCTGGGCTATATAGTGAGTTCAAGGCCAGCCTACATTACATAGAGAGACCTTGTTTCCCACAAAGAATGAAAGGAAGGAGGAAGACTAAACTACAAAATGCTTATTTCTTTAAGCATTAGAATTAGTAGAGTTGAGGATTAGATGAGGTACAGACCCCAAATCTCAGTTCGTGATTCTGTGCACTATTAAGAGAGGTCATATATAAATACAAGTGACTGATAGCGTATCTTTCATTTTTTATGTGTAACTTCATTCTTTTTAAATCTTTATCTTCTGGTTCTGTTTGTTTTTAATTCATTTAATTTTTTGAGACAGGGTCTCTGCTGTGTAGTCCACACCAATCTTGAACTTGTGGTGATCCTCCTGCCTCAGCCTCCAGAGTGTTGGGATCACAGGTGTGCACACCATATGTGACTAAACTTTTATTTCCTAATATAAAACTTTAAAGCTATTTAGCTGCATTCCACACATTTTGATATGTTGTATTTTCACTACCATGCAGCTAAATGTATTTTCTAGTTTTCCTTAGATTTTTTTGACCCAAAGGTTGTTTAAAAATGACTTACTGAATTCTAGATTTTTCCAGATTTATTTTCTTTTTATTGACTTCTAATTTAATGTCATCTGGGCAGAGAATACTCTTTTGTTTTGATACCGGGGGTCAAACTCACAACCTCAGGCTGGGGATTTAGTTCAACGGCATAAGCGCCTGCCTTGCAAGTGTGTGATCCTGAGTTCGATCCCCAGTACCGATTAAAAAAAAAAAAAAAAAAAAAAAAGACCTCACAACCTCACGCTTGCCAGGTAGGCACTTATGCTGAGCCTCACAGCTCTCAGCCCCACAGAGCACTCTTTATCTAATTACAGTTCTTTTACATTTATTGTGACCCAACTTTTGGTATATCTTAGGTTCTTGAAAAAAATGTGTGTTTTGCAGCTGGTAGATACAGTGGTCTCTGTACCTCAGGGTAGATGTGGGTGTCATTCAAGTCTTATGTAACCTTGTACGTTGTTCTGTCAGTTACTGAGAAAGGACTTAATATTGCCAACTTTTATTGTTGAATTTGTCCTATGTTTGGCTGGTGTATGCTGGCCTGTGACCATGGTTGGAGGACAGAAGGCTCAGGAGATTAGGTGTTCTAATCCTCAACTCTAGGAGGACGAGGTGTTCACAGCTGTCTGCCGGTTTTGTTACTGACCATGTTCCCTGAGAGGCGCAGTGGATGGAAACTTTTGACTCCAGATTTTTCCCTGGGCTTCAGCCTCCAGCCAGGGTATGTCAGGGAGCCTGTGTCTTTCCCGGGGGCACACTCAGCCACTTCCCTTTTGCTACCTCCTATTTGACTTAATGTGCCCAACCTCAGATGGCCTCACGAACTGCTATAACCTCGACATCCCGGAGCGAGTGGCTATGAAGCTTGATCAGACATTCCCGTTCTGCCTCATGAGGAGGATACCCATGTTCAAGTACGTCTCAGGATCCTTGGCTGAACGCAGGGCAGCTCAGAGCCGCAAGTAAGTTCCCCCGCTCACTCATCAGATTCTTGAGCCACCCCGGGGCTGGGAGAGAGTGTGGCTGGGCCATCTCAGGTCATAAAGGAAGAAGGGGTCAGAGATTGAAAAGCTGATGCACAGCTAGGCGCTGCGGGTATGGCTCAGTGGTAGAGTGCTTGTCTGGGCCTTGGGTCTGATCCCTGAGCACTGCGAATGAGTAAATACATGTGTGCAAGTAGTCAGAGCACTCTGGCTGCTGCCCTACTGTGTCCAAAGAAGGGACTCAGCTCTATGCAGTCACATGGCCGTGGCACATGGCCCTGATGAAAAGCACTGATATGTCACCAACTGATAGGGTTGCTTAGGATGGGGCCCAGGACCTAGGGTAGATGTTCTTAGCCACCTTACAAGAGCTGTGAGGTTTACTGTTTCGCAGTTCAGCCCTGTTTGCTGTCCTGCCCAAAGTGCCAGACAGGCCACCTGAGCTCTTGTTGAAGCCAAAAAGATCATGGTTACCTGTGTTTTCAGTGACTCAGAGACAAGAGTTGGGTCTAGACCAAGATGTCCCACTTGCAGGTCTTTTTCAACCTCTCTCTCTGTTCATACTGCTTCTGCCACTGTGTCCTTCACTGGCTTTTGTCCCTGCTGAGACTTCACAGCACAGGACATTCTGCCTCCTTCAGTAGTGTCTCCAAGAGAAGGCACCCAGCTGGGGGAAGGGGCATATACCAGCACTCTGGGAAACAGAGGCAGAAGGATCTCAAATTCAAGCCCAGCTTGGACAACTTACAGACTTGACAAAACCTTGTCTCAAAATGAAAATTAAAAAAGGGCAGTGCAAAGGGCCTGAGTTCAATCCTCAGTACCAGAGTCATTGTTTATGTCGGTGGCCTATAGGCTTCATGCATTTGCATTGTGCATTTGTGATTGGTTCATTGTCTAGCACTTAAATTGATGGTGTCAGTGCTATACCCACCTAGGGGTGGAGCCAGCATACAATGTAATGGCAGGAAGGTGTATCACGGTCTCTTGCCAGTTTCCACCATGCCATTTGCAGGCCGCCATATACTGGGGCCCCACCATACCACCCTACCTTGGAGCCAACTGAGTATAGACTAAAATCTCCAAAACTATAAAAATAATCCTTTCCTTTCCCCACTTTGGGTATTTTGTCTCAGTGGTAAGTAAGAAGTAACTAAGACACCAGAAAAACAAGAAAAGGAGCTCACTAGGAAGTCAGAGTGCTTTGTTTCTAACCTTTCTATCCTACCCTGCTGCTGTTGGGTTCACATCTTTTCTTGGTGCTGCCCCAACGCAGGGTTTGTTGACTGGAAAGCTGTCCCTTCTAAGTCATTCCAGGAGGCATCTATTCCCACCCTTCATCCACCCAGGGCCTTGCAGCACTTTTTAAAGGCAGGGAGGAGTACTGCGCCCAAAAGAAATGCAAACTAGCCGTTTTGCTTCAGAGTTCAGGTAGGTCCTTCCTGGGTCAAACTGTGGAAGGGACTGTGTATGTGTAGAATGTTTTGGGTTTTGATACAGATTGCACTGTCAGCCAGGCTGGGACCCACAATCCTACCTCAGTCTCCTGAGTAACCCGGGACCAAAGGGATGCACTGCTGCACCCGGCTGTGGTGTCTGACATAGAAACTTCAAAGGGCATCAGAGGTTAAGGTGTGCATCCAGCCTGGAAGGGAGCCCCCTGCAGCACCCCGGGGTGGTGACCCGCCCCAACTCATACTTCCTACGTAAGTTCATTTGTGCTGCGTGATCCTCAGCCTCTCTGAAGCTGTGACCTCCTGGTGCAATGATGTGGTCCCACCGCACCATGACAGGCACTATGGGAAGTGACAGCCTTCTGTTCCTGCAGCGTTCCTCATGGCTGGTGTCTGGTCCCCCCTTGCACCTGCTGCAGACACACACAACAGAATTGAATGTTTTAAGCGACTGACGGTGGGGCACAGGCAGCTTTACAACACTCTTGCTGATTTCTCTTTTGTGATGGCCATTTGCACAGTTGTGTCTCCCTGGGTGCTCTTGTTGAAAAATATGTTTTCAATTTTGGTTTTTTGAGGTGTTTTGATTGAACCTAGTGCCCAGCACATGCTAGGTAAATCCTCTACTACTGAATCGCACTCTTAGCCCTTCGACTTTTTTTTAATGCCAGGAGAGGTGGTGTGTGATGTGCTCTGTGCCTGGACCTCAGCAGCTGGTCTGTAAAGTCCAGGTTTAATTGAAAGGAGTGTAGCTGGGTGTGGTGATGCACCACTGGGATACATACCTGTAATACCAGCTGCTTGGGAGGTTAAGGCAAGAAAATCACAAGATTGAGGCCAGCGCAGGCAATTCAGTGAGACCTGGTCTCAAGAAGGGCTGCAAGGCCAGGGTTTTAGCTTAGGAGCCAGTGCCTACCTGGCCAGGCATGAGGTTGTGATTTCAATCCCTGGTAAAAAAAAAAAAAGGGGGAAGGTCTGGGCCGGTAGCTCAATAGAACTGCAAAAAAGAAAACCAAAATTCAAAGAGCAAACCCGGTAGCATGTACAAAGGGGGAGACCCCTTTGTATTCCCAGCCACGTGGTGTGTGGTGGAGTCTTTAGCTCCATCTGGCATGCTGCTTCCTACCAGTCTTCACTTGTGAGGCCCAGATAGGAAATTTCACACCAAGATGTACACAAGTGAGGCACCGCGCTAGCCACAGGCGCACTGCCTGCAGGGACCTCGCTGGCTCCGCTCCTGGTGGATGAGCTGCCGTGTGGGAGGTGTACCTTGGCCGGCCTCTGGTTTCCATCACACGCCTCTGGAGACTGCTCTCTGGACACTTGTTTTCTGTTCTCTTAGATTGACCCTAGCCCTAACCCGCTTTTGGACCCTAGAGCTAGCTGGCCTTGGTAATAGAAGTCGGCAGCCCTGCTGTTTTCTTGGGTGGGATGTCAGGGTGGTCCTGGTCACCATTAGCCGAATCATCCTTTTTCTCTTGTTTCTTTCCAGGCTGAACCCTGTGCTCGCCTCCTATCCTACACAGAGCTGCCATCTTCACCCACCCCCGAGCTACCCCGTCATCCAGATGCAGCACACCAGTGGCCAACAGCCAGCTGCCTGGCCGACCTGCACTACTGGGCACACGCCCAGCCTGCCTCTATACCAGCCCACCTCCGGCCTGTGTTACGTGCAGAACCACTGTGGTCCAACCCCTGGCTCCTCCAGTGTCTACCCAGCTCCCACGGGGACCTCCCTGGTGATTCCATCCACCGCCCCCATCAGCTGCCCTGGCATAGTGAACTCTGCGGCCCAGGGCACTCCAGCACCTGCCAGCTCCCACGAGGCCTGCACTGTCCGGATGCTCTGAGGGCATCTCTAAGGAAGTCAGCTCACAGCTTGGCCTCTGAGCTAAGATTTTCTTGACAGAAAATTAAGTGAATATCTCTGTGTGCCCAGCTATGTTGAGTACTTGGATAAATGTCCCTGTTCTGGTCTCACTTTTTACTGTCAGCTCTGTGAAGTACAGTTTATCTGCCCAGTTGCAGAAATTACACATTCTGTGACAATGTGAAGTCATGTGGTTCTAGTGTCCCCACGGGGGCTCTCCATGCTGACCCTGGACACCTTGCTGAGAACACAGGGGTGTTGTTAGAAGCTGCTGATGGCTCCTCTTCTTCTAAGCAGTGCCATTGGTTCTGTGGTATTCATATGTCTATGTGCTGGGTGGCCCCAGGCCTATGCTGTGTATCATCTCTGGCCGCCCCTGTCCAGGAGTGTGACCTGCAGCAGCATGCTGATGGTCCCATGTTTTGATGCCTTTGTATAAAGGGCCTGTGGCATACAGCTTCTTTGTGGTCTGGCTGAGAAGATGATGTGGACATGGAGGTGGTGACAGCAAAAAGGAGGGGTACAGGTCCACGCCAACAGCTCATGTCCAGTGAGTTGAGAGGGCACCTAGCTCAGGGAGTGAGTGGCAAACATGCCCAGAGAGCTAGCAGGGCCAGGCAGAGGGTTGAGCACAGCAGGAAGCTTTCACCACTCCCTGGGGGAGGGATGTGGCCAGAGCATGGGAGCTGGAACCAAAAAAGGACTGCTAACAGGACCATAGACAAGCAGTGTGGGCACTGGCAGCGGTGTCACTGGAAGTGGGAGGTTGGGAGGGTGAAGAACCCTAACGTCTGCTTGTTGACTGGTCAGTTGGGTCAGTGTCTCCCAGGAGCCAGGGAAGCCCAGAAAATGTCACTGGTCAGGGACAGTCCCTCCAGCACTGAGCAGGGCAAGGACAGAGTGTGACTGAGCTGGTTCCTGGCCAGCCTCCAGGCACCTTGGCTTCTGCTCAGTCATCAGCTAGGGCTCCTTGTGGAGGGCCCACGTCATAGCATGCAAGCTGCCCAGGCATTCTGGAGGCGATACATGGCCTGCGCTGCTTCAGGAGCTAGGTGGCCCACTGGGGCTGGCTGGCTGAGGTCCTTGGTATGCAGAGGTGCGTAAGACATCCAGCCCCAAACACACTTCAATGAGGCAGGGCTAATGACACCCAGATGGCCTCTGAGCCCTAAGCAAGAAGGTGCATGTGGGGGTGAGCGGGGGGGGGGGGGGTGCAGGGAGAAAGGGAAGACAGCCACTCCTGATCTGGATCAGGAAATGGGGTTTGCAGCCAGGAATCCAGTGCAAATCTGGCAGGCCGCAGCTTTTGTCTCCTGCCGCACCCAGCATTGTGGCACTTGGTGAGGGCAGGTAGCAGCATGTCCTGGACGTTTTCCCTCCAATCTAGTCCCCAGCCCTGTGCCAGAAGTAGTTGCAAAGGGTACCTGTCCTAATATGGCAGGTATGGTCTGGGCCTTGGGGATGCTGGATAGCAGAGCTGTGTAAGTCCTCCAGTCCTTTTGGGGGAGCTAGTCCTTACCCAATGCCGCCCCTGGCTTTTCCCACTGGGGTTTGAAAGGCAAATGATTTGACAGCAGCCACCAGCAGAGCTAGGCTCTGTGGCGCTCCTGCAAGGTCTCTGTGCCCTGGACTTCTTGGTCTCACCACAGTGTCCAAGCAGCCTGGAGCCAGGTCAGAGTGAGACTATCTCCTGCCCCACCCTGTACCCATCCGTTGTGTGTTCCATGTGTGTAAACTATCACTGCATGTGGGGCTGCTACGTGAATAGCTGTCCAATAAGTGATTCCTGCCCCCAGGAGCTCAATCTAATTAGGAAATGGGCAAACAATCATCATAGCTGGGCATGGGGTGCACGCCTGTACTTCCAGCACTTGGGAGACTGAGGCAGGAGGATTGCTTCAGTTTAAAGCCACTCTATAAACTGCACAAGGTCTACATAGCAAGACCCTGTCTCAAAAAAAAAAAATTGTATGGAACATTTGAGAAGCTAGGGGTCTAGGGATCCTTTGGTTATCAAGGTCTAAGGACAGAGGGAGGCTCTGACTTTGTCCTTCGCTCATTCCCTTTAAGGGGAAGCAGCCATGACTTCTTACACAGGGGAAAGCCCCTACTACAGACCCACTGCAACCAAAGAAGCTTTCAGATTTTGTCAGTTTCCCTACTCTGCCAGTGGAGGGTAGCAGAGAAGCAGCACCACACTCTGCAGCCTCTGAACTCTCCTCTGGGCTGCTGGAGGGAGAATTCACAGCCCAGATGGGGAGGAGGCTTGCTGCTGACGTGAGAATAGCACTGTATGGCCGTGTATACTCAGACTCATGCTTGTTTGTTTGTCCATCACTGTTTCATTTAACAAACATTTCGTAAACAGCCATCTGAGTTCAAGGCCTGGGCAAGGTCCATGGACACATCAGAAAAAACAAGCCTACAGTACATGCCTGTAACCCCAGCACTCAGGAGACTGAGGCAGGAGAATTGCCCCAAGTTCACTGGTTGCAAGAGGACCCACACAGAAAGGACCCCAGGATAGTGACCAGGCACGGCTGCACAAAGGAGGGAAGCCAGGAGGCAGGGCTGGGGATGTGAGTGTGGAGCCTGCGAGGAGATAAGCAAGACATGGTACCAGTGGTCCAAGCTGGCAGCTCAGAGAGGCAGAAAACAAAGCTAGGGCATAAAGCGGCTCTGCAGTCACACGGGCTATGTGTCAGAGCTGAGAAAGTGCCCACAAAATCCCCCCCCCTGGGGGAGGAGCAAAGATGGCAGATAGATAACAACTGGGTACAGAGGCTCCCTGAGGTAGTCAACTTAGAATTCAACATAACACAGCATGGGGAGCCTCAAACAGAGGGAGATGAATTCTCTCATCCCAAGAAGAAACTAAGGTGAGAAGAAGCAACCAAACATACAGTCCCAGTGCTATTACTGGAACAGCTAAAGGTTCAGTGTTCCCGCCACAGCGGGCGACTTGCCGACCATCCAAGGTCCCGCTGCGACTTGCTGAGCCATCTGAGGTCCCACTGCTTCGACTCACAGGAGGCGTAGTTACACTGAGTTCGGGGGTCGGAGAGCCAAACTGAGAGCTGAGTAGGCAGGGTGCCTGCATCGACCTGTGGTGAGTGACGGGAGTGGAGCCATTCCACAGAAAGGGGGGCTCTGGCAGATGACATTCTAGGGCCAGGCAGGACTGGCAAGTATGAGGGGCGGCAGTGACTTCAGTCAGTTGTTCTCTTCCCGAACAGGATGGTGGAGTAAGCTAGGCCTGGGTCATGTGACCTGACTGAGACCCAATAGGTTATCCAAAATCAGGTCCCTACAGCTGTGGCGCACACTAATCACACTAACCCAGTGAAGCCTCAGAAGTTTGACTGACCTGGAGGGGAGGTGGCACAAAGTAATACAGTGCAGGCCACAGCAGCTTGACTGTCCCGGAGGGGAAGGGTCAGCATACACTGTCCATGTCTGCAACTCACTAGCACATGGCAGTGGGAAGGGTCATTTAGCCAGCGCATTTCAGAAGAATTGTAACCAACAAAGAAAGAAACTTTGACCTCCTGGAAGAAGCAAAAAAGATGGGAAGAAGAAGCAACAACAAAAAGTCCCCAGGTCCCAACCCTGAGAACACTGACCCAGGACAGTAAGTACAAAGGAGAATGAGAACACCAAACATGCAATATCAGACACAGCGCCAGTGGACATAAAGAGATATATTCGGGACCTTATAGACGAGTTCAAAAGTGAAATATTTAGCCAAATAAAGCAAGATATAAGAAGATTAATAAAAGAGATACTAAGCACCCCTCAAGCATACACAGGCAGAAAAAAGGAGGAACTCAAACAAAGGAGAGAACCATTTGATGAAGAATATAAAGAAAATATAGAATACATAAAGCAGATTCAAAAAGATTACCAGAAAATTTAAAACTCTATGGAAAGACGGCAAATCAGCTTGAAAGAAACTAAGGATAGATTATCCAAACTGGAGGACAGTTTTGCAATGTGGGGTTATGAAAAGGAAAACTTTTTAAAAATAACAAGGAAACAAGCAGTAACAATACAAAGGCAAGAAGATGACAAAAGGATCTATAACTTGAGAATAATGTAAATGAAGAAGTAGGGATACAAACAAAGGAGCTACAAAGGTTATTCACAGAAATAATTAAGGAAAACTTCCCAAACATAGGAAAAGGAAATGATATTCTGATATATGAGACATACAGAGCTCCAGCCATGTACAACCAAAACAGAGCTATACCCAGGCATATAATAATCAAGATGTCAGAAATTCAATATAAGAACAGAATTTTAAAAGCTGTTAAAGACAAGAAACAGATAACCTATAAAGGAAGGCCCATCAGAATAACAGAAGACTTCTCAACACAAACCATCAAGTCAAGAAGAGCCTGGAGCAAAATATTCCAAGCCCTGAAAGAAAATAACCTCCAGCCCAGATTCATATACCCTGCTAAATTGTCTCTAGAAATGGAGGAACAAGATGCTTCCAAGACAAAGAGGAACTTGGGAAATTTGCAACCATCAATCTAACTCTACAGAGAATACTGCAGGGTATTCTAGAGAGAGAGAAAAGTACTAGGATTCCAGGAACAGTGGCAGAGAGGCCTCAATGAATGGAGCAGAAAACAGAATGAAGAAGATAAGCAGACAACTGATGGCAAAAAAAGAGCATAACAGAAATGAGGCAGAGAAGATTTTATTCAAAACTGATATGATTGATAGCATCAAGTCTGAGAGTATAGGCAACTACACTGAAAATGATAAAACTCTTACAATACACATTCTGGTTTGATAGCTGCCAGTTTTTGAAGTTCTATACTATATACAAAGTTGTATTTTTATTAATACTGTTATATACTGATATATTCAATTATACTATGTCTGATGATATAGCCAATTCTATTGGAGATAACAAGAGACAACACAGGAACCATGGTAGAACTCTTTGTACAACAGTCTTATATGGTTTTTTCATTTCATGTGTTTATAGGAATATGTTTTGTTTTGTCTTGCTTTGTTTTGTTTCTCCCTCTAATATAGAAAGAATAGAAATACATGTTAAGACTCATGCATGTGTAGAATCTATAAACAGTTTATGAGAACTGATCTTATGACACATGATAAAATGAACAGATACTTTGAAGAAAAAGAGACACTAAAATACCTAATGCTGATC